ACTTCAGTGTTAGCAAAACCTGCTACCGCAACAAACACCTTGCGCTAACAGTAGATATTGCAGCTTCGCAGTCAAATATTGTTGGGTAGGGTGGGATATGCTCTAATTAAACATATCCAAATTTTGCGCAATTTAGTCTACTAAGGAAAAAGTTATGAACGAAAAAGCGTCAAAGCATTTCACCGAAGACTTTTGAGCGCTACTGTATAAATGTAATTTAATAATTAAGGGGTCATGCTTTATTTATGTGTATAGAAGACAGTAAATAATCAACTTACGATACTTGTAAAACGTAGCGGTATACTATGATCTTCGCTGCAGGGAACGAGATTAAGTTTTGCTGCTATGCCACCGAAGGCTTGAAATTTGAATACACTTTTAAAAAAAACCTAGCGAGTAGTTGTTCTTTTCTAAAATTCTCATTCTAGGCAGGTCGGTGCCATGTTTTGGTGAATGTTTTTGAGTTTTTTTAGAGGTTAATAGCAGTTCGCCTGTTAGTTATTTACTCGCTATGGATTAGTAACGCAGAGTAATTGTTTTCTTTACGATGTCGTTATTTTTATGTAATGCATTATGTGTATGTTTGTGAGTGATGTTAACTCGATGGCCGCCTGATTGCTGAGTGCGTGATCGATTGCGTCGTGCTGTTGGTTATTTCTTCTTTCAACATTTCAACAATGTGGCCCCAGCGCTCGATCCAGAGGCGTCAGCAGCTGCTACGGGGCGACCGTTCGAGGCGAGAGCGTGTTTGGTCCGCGGCAAACGCGGCGCCGCCCCCACCGCCTGCAGTGCACACTCAGCAGTTCACGCGAGCACTGGCGCAATGATTCGCCCAGATTACCTGGCGGTCATTCCGCCACCAAGTTTATCGCTCCCGGATAGCTGGTTGTTCTCTTTCATATCACTGAACATAACTGTATCGGTTAATCGGACGAGATTTCATCGAATCACGGTTACTGGGCATCTTTTTGTCCCCAACTAATCTCGTGCTCCTTTGGTGAGCGATTTACGGATGTTTCTGATTTCATTGGAAGTGAGGTGCTTTTGCGAAGGAGAGCTAACTAGCCCATATCAACAAGTTATTGGTTAAGAAAGTTTTGGGAATGGTGTCCCAGAAACTACTTTGTATAAAGGACTTTTTCCTGGGACAGCTTTGGGACAGAGCTATTCTTCATCATTATTTGAATATCGTTGAAAAAAGGCTCCCTAAATCATTCTATTATCTCGAGACCCAGTTGGTATTTACTGGTTGAAAAAATTTTTAAGCTTTTTAGCTGGAATTCTTGTTCTTTTTTCACAGCGTCGTTAATCATTGATGGCTTCCCCGTTTAATCGCACCGGCCAGTGTTGTTTTGAGGCTTTCTCCTTGATCTTCATTTTATTATTTTTGTATCTTGGAGCATTCAACACTTACGGCCTTCAGAAACTCTCAGTATGATTTTTTTAATTGCAGGGTAGAAATTCTTTTTCATTTTCCACTTGATTTTTAACCTGACGCTCTGAATGCCCGTTGAATACCTTTTTATTAGCTCTGCAAAATCGCGCTCTCANTGAGGCTTTCTCCTTGATCTTCATTTTATTATTTTTGTATCTTGGAGCATTCAACACTTACGGCCTTCAGAAACTCTCAGTATGATTTTTTTTAATTGCAGGGTAGAAATTCTTTTTCATTTCCCACTTGATTTTTAACCTGACGCTCTGAATGCCCGCTGAATACCTTTTTATTAGCTCTGCAAAATCGCGCTCTCAATCTTTTCTTCTCCTAATTCTTTGGAACTGTTATTGAAACCTTGTTTTGAGCCTGGGTATAGTGACAAGGTTTGGAGTTTTTCCATGTGCGGGAAGTATCATATCGACTGCGTGCTTTGTTTATAATGGAATTTTGGCTCTCAGTTAGTCTAGTCCTGGTACAAGGTCAACAATTTTCATTCTGTTCTTGCTCGAAAGCCGAAAAGAATTCTCATCACCTTCCCACAAATTGTAAAATAGTTGAGGAAGCTGTTTTGTGAAATAATTTATTACTTTTTTTCTGGTGAACGTAGTCTCGTTTTTCTTTTTCCCGCACAGTGTCTCCTCAAACCTCTCTTCAGACCTTTTGGAAGCTCAGAGGTGGATTTACACCTATTCATTAGTCACTTCAGTTATTTTTATGACCTGTATATAATCAGTGCAAATGCCTACAATTCCAGAGAATATCGAAGCCGTGCGATATCAGCCAAAAGGGGGAGCCGTATGTTGAGTTGGAATCGTTCAAGAAACTATTCAAAAGGTACTTTTTATCTTGAGTTTGTCTTCCAATTTCTAAAATTTTTCTCTGAAAAAGCCATTGTTGCTCTATTTCCTGCTTCTTTTTTTTCATTTTGCAATAGTTTTTTGAGTTTTTTTAAGGCGTTTTATCGACTAGCTCCGATTTATTTGTTATTCATCTCGTATTATTTTATCTTCTTTCCCCAGAATAGAAATTTGCTCTAGCATCAGCAGGATTAGTTGTTTTAGTGTATAACGTGACGTAGCTGATTTTTTTACCCTTCTGCTTCTGAACTCCTCCTGCTGGAATGAGCGATCGACGATGCTGTGGTATAAACCGCGCTGTGACGACTCATAAGCCGCTTTCATACTTCAAGCCGGCAGATACGCAGGACTAAAGCGGAAGGAAGTGGATATTAGAATCGACTTCTTTTTGTAATATCGTCCGGCACGAGTGTGAAGCCGGCCATACCACGGGTTTGATGGGTTATGTCAGGTTACTGTCCGTATTCCCTCGTTCGCCCGATCTGTCGCTCATATTAATTACTCGGTGTGGTTGATTATTGGTTAAAGTTTATTATAGGTTCGAACGCTAATGTTCTGGCATTACCACCGAGGGTGGTAGCTGGTTATCTTTCCGATTCGATGGGTCGTGGCGATGCCAGAGCATACTATGGAGCTCACATGATGCGGTTCAGGGCGTTGCTGATTCATACAGCAAACTGCTCAACTCAATTACTTATTCCATTACTTATTCCATAATGTAGAGACTGCTAGTGAGAGAGCAGAGATGAGCACCATGGTTTGGCTCAAATAGGCCATCCTTTAGGTCGAATATTGATAAACAGAAAGGCCTATTTTTATTGATAGCATTAACAAGCGATGAGGGGAATGGAAAATATGGGCGAAAGAGTACTCTAGCACTCCTGATTCTGAATTAACTCGATAAAGTGCTAATCAGAGTTGTCCCATAAGTGCAGCGGTCTAAATCGTTCTTTTGTTGCTTTTTGACAAAATCAAAAGTGTCTACAAAAGATAACTTCGTGTTGCTAATTGCCTTCAGCCCATTACACATCTCTTGCTGTGGAAGCAGCTCCGTTGGATTGTTATATTATGTGAAGGAGTATTGTTTGTGTATAAAGTCTCACCAAAGGGTCATCTTCAAAAGGTATCTCTCGTTTTTTTTTAGGCCGAAATTCTACCGCAACGCATTCGAAAGAGCAGTTTCCCGCTTGCTGGCTCACGTTTATGGAGTAGAAAGTCGAAAAAGTGACTTACCAGTTGAATTTCTTAATGGAGATTTGGAGGTGCTTTGGCAGTTCGTATCGCACAGTGGCAAGCAGATTATCAAGGAGTTCCGAAAAAGAGAGGTTGGCTTATTCATTTTTTTAAGCTATCTCCTGAATGAATATGTATAATTGAAGCCAATAGAAATCCGTCTTAGGGATTAGTATCGTGTCTTTCCGAAGTAGTTTGGAAGTCAAATATGGTACTGATTAGTTTTGGGCAAAAGGTTGATATTGATGGTTCTTTTTGTGGCATCGTTCTCCTTTAGTGTTCCTTGATCTCTTTTGCCTAGTATAGCTTATTTATAACCCTCTTTTTGTTTTTCTTAGTTGTTGAATAGTAATATATAGCAATATATATTTATATATATATTGTTATATAAATAATAAATAAATAAATATATATATCACGCTGGATTTTATGGAATCGAAATCGATTTCAGGTCAACATAAATACATGTAAGGCTACAAGGCTACAAGTATGGCAGTCGTACGTTCTTGCTTAGGATCTTCTAATAGCTACTTTTTAGCATTTGCTTGAATTCGAAGTGCATTTGAAAGACGACAGTTCATCCGATGAAGGTGAGGAATGGAACGATGAAAGAGAAGAGTTGTCTTCTGAGGAGGAAGAGAATGGGGAAGAGGGACGCGAGTTGCCGAATTCAAAGTTAGTTTTTTTGACCATCTCTTATAGATAGTGCCAAATTTCCGATTGGAAACATTTTTCGTTCGGTGACTCAACTGTATCAACATATGTACACTTTGTTCATTGCTCACTTACAACTTTTTGATTCTGTGTTCTGATCATCAATATTTTAGCGAGGTTTCGGAAGATTCGCAACAATGTGAAGTGGGAGAGATGGGTGAGAATGATGATCAAATAGAAAACAGAAGTAAAGTGCGCAAGAAGTATCCGAAATCAGCTGTTGACGACAAGTTTTTCAGGTTGTGGTTAAGTTTTTTTGTGTCACAATTCCAAAAGATTCTGTGTTGTAGTCTCGCTGAAATGTCTGCTTTTCTTGATGAGCAGGATCGCATGGAAGGAAATGGTCCAAGCGTGTTGGACAGTATTTGTGTGAGCTTATTATTATTTTTTTGTTGTCCTGATATTTATGATTCAATTTTTCTTCATTTTTTGTGAAGTTTGGAAATTCTGCTTCGGTTGATCGCCATCTTCGAACAAGTCGTTTCTTTATAGGATTCTGAGGCGGCCCCAGCTGACTATGGTTATGAAGACTTTTTCGGCAGTGAAGACAAAGTTGCAAAGAATGAGTTGACGAATAAGAAAGAGCAAAAGAAGAAGCGTAATGCTGATAAAAATGAGCTGTCAGTTTTTCGAGCCACTGACTCGCTTTGCTGTTCATTGCTTCATGATATGATCGCTGCTTGATTCATTTGTACAGATCCAACAAGAAGAAGAAATCAGTGCGATTTGCAATTGATGATGAAGATCTCGAAAAGGATGACGGAAGCGAAGTGTCAGCGCAAGAATGTGAACCTGAGATAACACAGGAGTCAGTTCTCTTAGGTGACGGAGAAGTGTCAGAACAGCCCCAATCTAGCCTAAAGAAAACTCTCAAAAGGGTAGGTTCTAGGTTCCTTCAGGAGATTATCTGATCACGGCTTATTGTATCGTCGAGATTATATCACCCAGTCTTCTTATTGCTTGTTCAGTAATGGTGTCATTAGGTATTAATTGTATGATGGGCTATGAGATAGACTATTTCAGTCTTTCAGTCAGTGATGTAAGGGTGGGGAAGAAGCAGTGAGTTATAAGTTAGATTGGGCAAGGAGGTTGCTGTAAAATTTTGTATTCGAATTCTCCTCTTACGTTCAATCAGCGTTGATGACACAACAACTTATTTATCGCATTTATTTTCAGATAAAACAAACAATAGCAAAACTGGAGCAGGAAAATCTTGCGCCACGATCATGGCAACTTAGTGGCGAAGTTACCGCTCAAGATCGAGAAAAGGATGAGTTACTCGAAACACACCTAAACTTTGATCATGGAGCCAAGAAAGGTGTGTAGAATTAGCATGTCTTTATAGCAATCACTTTCGAGTGATGGATTTTGTACTCGAATTCCGTGGCGTTGTAGCCTTCCGCTGAGAATTCGAATCTCCCCTTTCCCAGCGTGCGATGGGGACGGTGGCAGGCACCGTTCGAGTACAAATTACCACACATTTTTTTACTCACTCAAAATACAATTTCAGCAGCTGAAATAACAGAAGTGTTCACGCAAAAGTTGGAGCATATTATTATGCAACGAGTCAAAGATAAGGTTAGTAACAGTGAATGTGCAATACTAAGTAAAGAAGAGAAATCTTGTTTCTGTTTTCTTCGGCACTACAGTTGTTTTTTACAAGGCGTTCGACGATGTTGTTCCTAAGAAACGTATTGAAGAGAGGAGCGAGTCGTACAGAAATCAAGCAATAGAGGAACAGGAAATTGTCAAAACTTCTTTAGCAGAGGTTTATGAAAAGGAGTATCAGAAAGCCGCTGGGGTCAGTTTCAAAGAATTCGTTTCCTAGACCGATTTTATGACCTCCGTTTACCCACAAAATACATTTTTCATATGCAGGAAGTTGGTGCCCGCAATGCAGTCAATGAGGGACACGAAGTCATTGAGAAACGAATGCATGAACTTTTCCGCCTTATTGATGCGTTGTCCAACTTTGACTACACTCCTCCTGAAGTATGTGCTTCAGTATTTTTTATTTTTTTTTTGTAAACAGTACTTTGCATAGTTCCTAGAGGGGATTGATTCAATGTTCAAAATAGTTCCGCTAACTGCTGAAGGATCCCAATCAAGCTGACCAACTGTCGTTGCTCGCTACCTACGTATTCTCGGGGAGATGACGTCGAATTTGCTTTTCAAATTTGCAAAAAAACGTGCTGAGCAAAATAACAAAAGCATTTTCCTTCACCTTGCAACACGAGGAAAAGGAAAATGGGATATTCCCTCGATAACAACCGCATTCAAAAAGTTCCCTTCAGTGGTTGTTGGGCATTGTTTGTTTTGTGATTTGGAAAGTTAGGAGTCTTGTCGTCACGTTTTTGTCGTTGTTCATGTAACCTGATTTTCGATGGCTTTCACGTTAACCGCTTTGTTCTACTAAACGTTTCATAGGGACCGACCCTTCGCTGCCCGCTCAGATATTCAGTATGTCAATCCAGCAGTGGACAACAGAAAAAGTCCAATGAAATGTTCTGTTCAAAAAAAAAGGCATAGAATGCTCGAACGCCGTTGATGTAAATGCCTTTAATTAGCAAGCGTGTGATAAAATCTCATGCCGAGACGTACTTGTTTGTTTTATGAGCGCTATTCTGGGGGCGTAGTGGCAATTGGCGCACGCTATCACGCGCATGGTCGGGAATCGGATCCCGTTACAATAACTGCCCAGGTCAAGCGAGTCTTTCACTTAAGAGACGTTCAACTGGTTACATACTTGTTCGGGTGGATTGAAGCGCGGACTTGCATATCAGTTGATCACGAAAGTCACAGGTCACATACGCATTGTTAACGTCACTACGATTCTAAATGAAAGTTGAATGGGGTGCATCCCAGAAACGAGATTAGCTAACGCCAAAAGACACTGTTATATGTCTGTTCATTTGGAGAGGCGAAAATTTACCGTGAAACATATGCATGATTCTCTTTAAAAATCATTAGTTTTCGTACAGAGAATAATGTTAGATTGTATATGTTCCGCTTTACATAAGAGGCGGAATAGAGGGAAGTTTGCAGCAACTCATTTTTTTTCGGTGTGTTCTGGAAGTTTGCGCTACTTTTGTATATGCGCGCAACGTACCTAGTTCGTTGTACTGCAGTCAGTTGGTCAGAGCGAGAATTATCTTCGGGTTCACTGTTTACGGTTTAGCAGGCGTGGGAAGGAGAAAATCACAGAGCTGCTTATAAGGGGCGACACCAAATGGCGCGCGTCTATTAGGGTTCAGCAGCTGAGTGGCCGCATTCAGACTCATAGAAAAAAGGGAATATGAGGAGGCAGTTCGGCCATTGCGAGCTTAGATAAGCAGGTAGTAGGCTATGTTATGCGCAAACAAAAGAATAGTGTCCTCATCTAGCAATTCCATGGAAACCTGAGCATACGAGAGAAATTCTGGACCACTGTAGAATTTTTGCCGGATACTTTCCTTACATAATATTGTTGTTATTAGTCGAGTTTTATCGGAGATAATTTGCGTGATTATTGCGTGTTACTTTCCGAGTATTTTTCTCTAGCCAGGGTAAGTGCTAAGTCACGAAGCTTTTTATTCTTGTACTCTTGCAGCATCACCCTGCGGTGTTTAGGCGTGCTGCCAACTTGTGCGCCCAGAAGTGATCTTGTGCAATAACTGATAAATAGGAACTTCAACTTTAGAAAGATAAGAGCATTTGACTACAAGCTTGCTATCAAGAACAACGTTACGATTGAGTAAGAATGAATCGCTTTGAAACCATGGAAAGCAACGAAAAGGTACGGTGAAGAACTATTCCCTGAGTTCAGTCCTGCAAAGCCACTCCAATTGCCCCGATCAATAAAGCATTTTGATCGCGTTTGGCAAGCAAATCCGAAATGAACGTGTGAGCAAATGGCCGTTGATTCGGGATCCTCAACTTGTGAAGTGTTTTCAGTGGTCCCAGGGGTATGCCTGTTGGTAGATAGATCTCCTGTTACGTTTTTTTCCGAGAGTTATTGCCTTCATCTTCCCAATTAGTTGTCAGGGATGCAATAAGCTTCGCACACAGAATACGCTGCTGTTTTTAGACAAGAACAGACTTCAAAATTTTCAATCAAGTTTTGTTGCCTATTAAACAGCGGAGGTGGTGTAGTGGCAAGTGGCGCACTATATCACACGCACGGTCAGGGGTTCGAATCCCGGATCGATGCCCGCCTAGGCCAACCAAGCCTTCCATCCCTCCGNACTTGTACATCGGCTGGCCACCGCAAGTCATTGTATAGGCCACATACGCACTCATTACGCCACTACGATTCTGAATGGAAGTCGAGTGCGGGGGCGCATCCCACAGACGGGATTGATTAACGCCAAAAACTTTATTTTATTTATTTATTATTAAACAGCGGCGATTTTATTCGGATTGTGAAATTTCTACATTGAGCATACATCTTGTAGACATACTTCGAGATCATTTTCTCTTATTAGTACCTCATTTTTATTGTAGTGGGCTTTGAGAGGACATCAATGCCTAACCATTGAACTCTCGCTGTCGATTCAAAAATAGCTCTAGAGCGCTACTTGTTTGTCAGAGATTTGTTCTGATGAGCATTTAAACGTGGTTGCTCAGTACAGTCTATCCTTCTCTTTTCATCCAACTACTAATATATTTGGAAGTTTATTTCATTGACCTGCATATGCCTTTTGCGGCTGACTTAAATGATTTATCATATTTCAATGCATTACCTCGTTCTTTCTAGACACGTCCCGATGTTCGAGTGGTGTCGAACATGGCAGCGCTAAGAGTTGAGGAGGTCGGTATGAGTGCGTCGACCGATGCTCAGCTTCTCGCACCTGAAGAGCTGAAGAAGCGCATAAGAGGTGATATGAAAGCCGATGGAGAGCGCAGTCGTACCGACAAGTTACGACAACGACGAAAAAAGAAAAACCGTCAGAGGTGAGACTGCTTTCCTTCGTGATGCTCAGTAATGACAGCGTTTTTTATTGTGGTCTCTATCTCTACACTGACAGGTCACTGGCGGAAGTGTTCGGTGAAGAGAAAGTTAACGAAAATCGGAAGAGGAAGAAAAACAAGGAAACTCCTGGAGAGGGAGAAGTGGGTGGTAGCGAGAAGATGAGAAGTTCGACGTTCTTTTCAAAACTTCAGGAGGCTGTACGAAATGTATGTTTTCTAAAAATCGCATGATACCTAAGTGACTAACATTTTCTTTGTTTTTTCTGTGAATTTTTTTTGGAAATATTACTCTTTGCACGCACTCTGTGGTCAGGGTCAGCTAACTCACTGCATTTCGGCCTTTTTCACTAGCTCATTACCGCTACTTTCGCCCAGAATGCTTGAATTGTAACTACTACTATTACTCGGTGTGTGACTCTTAGTAGTATCTATCATCCATCGATGATGGATAAAGCGCAGAAGTGTGCTCTAGAGNTTTTTTTTGGAAATATTACTCTTTGCACGCACTCGGTGGTCAGGGTCAGCTAACTCACTGCATTTCGGCCTTTTTTACTAGCTCATTACCGCTACTTTCGCCCAGAATCCTTGAATTGTAACTATTACTATTACTCGGTGTGTGACTCTTAGTAGTATCTATCATCCATCGATGATGGATAAAGCGCAGAAGTGTGCTCTAGAGTGGAACCTGAATGAATAAATTACGATGTGGATAAGAAAGAAGAAATTAAGTGGGAGTCGATATAGAAAACTTGAGGATAGCAAACATTTCAAACAATTGCATAACATTTCTAGGGACAAGTGACAATTACTTTTATAGGTACTGGAAGGCTCTTTACCTCCTTTGCTTTATACCTGTTTCATCAGGGATCAATCTCAATCGGCCTACCTGCTTAACTTCCAGCTTTCCTACTATTTTATTGCGTTTGTGGCTTTTTTGTGGCTCTAGGCTCAACAATCTTCGAAAAGGAAAAGTAGGAGATGTCATTATGGGGCGTTTCAGGCTGTTCCTAAAGTAATTCCATTATGCTGCAAGAAAGGCATGGAAACCAAATAGCGAAGTTTTAAAGAAGTGCAAGTTGTTATGTGCGGGCTTAGAAAAGACTACAGAAGCTGAAAATATGAATTTTCTCACTTTTGAGAGTTTTGATCGTAAAGGATTGCGTATTTGTTGAAGTTTGCAGTGGCTAACCTATAAGTTGCACTTATGTCGTTAGAATTTATTAGGAGTTTGGCTGTAGTATTGTTCGATAGTAGAGAAGGGTTGAAAAGATGAGCGTACAATTTGCCCTAGGCCATGATTACCTCGTCACGTCAGAGGAACGATTGGAGGATGAGATTTATCGACTATTGATTGGGTTGGACAAAGGCTGCTGAGATCACAGGCCGTGTCCTAAAATGCATTGATTCTGCATATTTTTATTATCCATATCCTCATTCCAACGTTGAGGGGCTAATAACTTGATGACCTCTGTAGATATGGAAGGGGGAAGCATTAGTAGACTGAGCAGATATAGCATTACCATTGTTGCAAAAGAGTGAAATACATCATATGATAGCTGCGAATCGCCCTCGCGTTAACTTTTTTGGTAAATTCCGTAAAGTTGTCATTAGAAAAGTGAGGAGTTTTCAACCTATGAAAAAGCACTCGAAAAAGGATATATACATACGCTGTTTTTCTTGTTACTTTGAGTATTTATTATGTTTGTGAGCCAGGCGCTTCTTTAGATTTGACCTTTGGCAGTGATTAGTTGTCGAAACCTATTAAGTACACTTTGATAAACAAATCCGGATTGTTAGCTGCAAACCTAATTTAGCACCTCAACTATCAACATAATTAAGCGTGGCTAGACGTCAATCTAGATAAAGTGGAAGTTGGTGCAAATATCTAGTCGTTGTCAGGTTTCGTAAAAATAACCAGCTCAAAAACCGCAAGCATCATGACCTCTGAGGTTTTGAGTGTATGTTTGGAAAACAAAGGCAAAAAGAAGTAATTTCAAGGAACGCATAGTACTTATTGTTAGTTGTTAAACAAAGAAAAAATTCATATTTAGGAAGTCAAGCAGAAAACGATGAAGAAGAAGATTGTGAAGTCGGAGCAGGTCTCTGGAGTCGCCTCTAAATATATGCTATGACCGGCTACTCAGCTGCCAACCAATGGATAACAGTATTCCTTTTGAACTGGTTTCCGAAGGACGGTTTCGAAAGCGTTGCGTATGTTAATCATGTTTAGGATGAAGGTAGAGAGACATTGTTGTTGTTGTTTTTGTTGTTGTTATGATTGTTGATGCTTCATTATGAACGTTTACGAAGAAATCTTATTCACTTTACGACTTCCATCGGATTATTCATATGGTTTTAACCATTTTATCTGCCGTACGTTTTGCATATAAGTTAATAGTAAGCAGTTACGTTATGCCGTTTTGAATATACTAGTTATTTGTGATTTTCAGGGGTTTTGCCAAAAAAATTCTCCATCCTACTCGTTTTGCGTTGAATCGCATTCATCGCACATCTCCTAGTCGCTGTCTACCCGCATTCTGTGTGCGTGTCTACTAGGCGGGTGGAAAGCCGAACTCATCCCGAGAAGTTTACATCCTCCGTAATTTCTTTCCTTTCAATCTATTCGACGGGTGCTTCTGTATTGAGTTTGAAATCGAGAGTATAACACTATGAACTACACGGGTCAATACGTCCAGCAACAACCATCAGGTGCCATGCCTCCGATGCAGCCCCAGCAACAAGCTCAAATGATGCAACAGCAGCGTATGGTGAGAACATGTATCAATTTTCCAGAATTTTTTCTTTTTAGAAATGTGAAAATTTCTCGACCCAAAGCTCGACGAGCAGCCAGAGCTAATCATGGGGCCATAAACTTAGAAGGTGTCTTTGCCCTCCTCCACTTCGTCTTTGTGCACTTGTTTACGAGTGTAATGTAGAGTATTCTGGCTTGAACCATCTGTTTCTCCTCTTGTTGAAAAAAACTTGTAAGCATGTTAGGCGATCCTTCCACTAACAGAGTTCTATTCCCTTTTGTTTGCAACCCCATGATACTTTGTTTTGGAGTGGTTAGGGAAGCTTCCCCTCTTATCATTCCAAAGAATGTATTATCTTTTGAACTTTTTTTCTTGAACCGTATGTACATATACAACACGATATTCCTATTTACTTAGTGCGCAATTTGCTCACCTCTTCTGTCCGCTTTCATCCCTTTTCTAGAGTATTTTGGGCTGCGATTTGCTTGGTAAAACATAAAACTTATACGTTAAGCTTCAGTAAATGTTAGTTTTTACCTAAGGTGAAATTTGAAGTAGTAATGATACTAATCGTTTACTGAAGCAACTCGTTGTACTAATTATCTAGTCTGGTGGAGCAACTTCTGATTCGTTTACCTGCGTTCAGGTGATGGGTCAACCTGGACAGGCGGCACCTGCAATGCGGCAAATGTATCCAGCGCCTCCTGGCATGATGAATTCGCAGGGTGGGCTATCATTCAACATTTTATGCTAGAGGTAGCGTAAGTTCTGAAGCAATAGGTTTTCGGTGCTCACTGCTTTCTTTGCGCTTACTACAACTTGTGGCTTCCTTTTCAACGTATGAATGAAATGATAAAAAGCCGTTCGATCTGTTATTGCTGGTTTTTCATTATTAAAGTAAGAATGATACTTGTATAGATTTCACAGAATAAGAATAAAAAAAGAAGTCATTATAGAATAAACTAGAATAAGCGTGCCATTATTGTCGTGGGATAAAATGTAATGGTGGTTAGGGCACTTTGAATGTGTCATTGCAATTCTCTCTAAGCTAGCTAAGTATTCCAAGTATCTAAGGACGATTCACAGTTACTACGCTTACCTGGGTTGAACAGAACGCCAACTTGTTTATTGAATGACCGGTCAGATATTGCCCAGTTATGCGCGACAAGGGTTTTGAATGAGATCGAGTGCGTGCTGCGTTTTGATGTGGCATTCATTAAGAATGAAAGATTTACCTTTTTCTCAGATTGATGCTCATGTTTGGTTAAATCTGTGCCATCTCGAATATACTTGTTTCTAGTACCTGGGCAGCCGATGTATGGTCATCCCTCTCAGATGCAACAAGCTCAAATGTTACAGCAGCAGCAGCAACAACAACAACAACAACAGCAACAACAACAGCAACAATACCAGTACTAGTAAGTTTTGTTTCAAGCAGTTCTAGCTCCTGGGTGGTCACGCTAGAGATCTCGCTCTAAATACATATTTCATTTAAGCATGTCTCGTTTCCCACCTCATTGGCAACAGGAAATTCACGTTGAACAAAATCAAGAGCGCAAGAAACAACTATTCACGACGTTCATGCGAAGGGTTAGCACCACTATTTTACCATTTCATTGCTAGCAGGGCTTCTCTGGTTTCGTGTTTCCTAAATACCGGCATACGTGAAAAGGATGTTCCAGTTCAACACAATGCAGCAACAGCAGTCGAAGATGGTTTCGAACGGACAAGGTGCAATGATGCATCAGCAAATGATGGGTTGGTGTAGCCTTTTGGTTTTTATGAGCATGAGATACTCTTTGTCCTCGAGGTGATAACCGCGTCCAAAACAATTCTATCTACCAGAAACAGTGAACATTGTGAGAAATACACTGGTATAGGGCTTGAATTCTTTCATTCCCCTTTCTCATCGCTATTGTTTTATCCGCATTTAGGACAAGGCGGTGTAATGGTAGGTCCTGGTGGGCAGCGAGCTCCGGCCGGTCCTGGCGTATACGCTCAGCAGCAACCAGCATCTGTAATGGCACCTTCTTCTGGACCAATGTCGAATACCGTTATATCTGGTCCAGCATCTGCCCCTATGACTACACAACAAATGTATGATAATTTTTCTCTGAGTGAGCTTTACTTTTTATAAGTATTGTGTTTAGGAGGATGTCTGGTCTTATGGCTGGTGGTCAGAGTGCGGGTTCACAGCAAATTATGTCTGCTTCGTCGATGAATCCGCAGTCGACGGGTCATATTGGTTCTGGAGCCAGCCCGCAGGTGTGATAGTTGATATTTGAAATTTTGTGTTTTCTAAAAAGGTCTCAATGAATTTCAGGACACTAGTAGTCAGTAATTCCTCATCCTACTCTAGCAGAATTACTCTAGCAAATCATTTATGGCACTGTTTACCCTTTCCTGCCCCACTTTGTCGAGAATGTGCTGGGAGAAGTGCTTTCTATCGAATTTTTTTCAAGAAAATGAAACCTACTAGAAACTTGCAGAGGGGTGATTTGACCCGTAGAACACGAATATCGCATCTTTTCCTTATTAAGACGCCCAGCGCTCGCGCCACAGGCGCCGACGCCAATTGTAGCTGGGTCACCAATCTTGCTGAAAACTTGTCCTCAGGCATTTTCATGACAAATGGATGCGATATTTGTGTTCTACGGGTCGAATCACCCCTCCACGCAAGTTTCTAGTCGGTTTCATCTTAATGGAAAAAGTTCGGCAGAGCGGGGTAGTAAAGGGTAAATAGTGCCCATTTTATGCTTAGTGAGATTCAGGAAATTCAGAGTATTATTATTTCAAATTATGTTCGTCTGGTAATCCACACCTTCTATCGGGCTCCTAAACGAGTCAATTCGAGTTTCAAGAGAGTAGTGATCATATTATGTAAACATCGCGGCGAACAGATTTACAGAAGCATGACCATGAGTGGTGTGGGATTATGTGGAACCAAAGAGCAGGTCGGGCTGTTCACCGAGAAGCGATGTCGTATACGGTAGAGCACTGTACTTGAAGATGTCTTGGGATACCTGGTCAATTACGGAGTTTGTTACAAAAAGAAGGTTACATTGGGCCATAATATAATCAAGCGGTCATTGACTGTGATCATGAACGACAGAGAATGTTCAGTAACCCTTCCAGATTTGAAAGTTTCATTTTTATTGTTAAGGTCCATTCCTCGTTTTCTGGTCATCAAGTGGCTGTCGGTTCTCCGCATATGTCAGGCGTTGGTACTGTGGGTGCAGTGTCGAATTCGCCATTATCTTGTGTTCAGCCGTCCACACCGCGTAAGTTAAAATTTAATACCTGTCCGTATTTACACCAGGGACCAACGTAGCTAAGTAGTGCGGCCACGCGTGGCTGATAGGGGGTTGTTTACTGAGATGCAGTTGAATACACTGAATGGGCCCTTCGTTCTTGCTGTGCTAAGTTGAATTCTGCTCTATTAATCTATGCATGCGTGTTTGCGCGTGCGTGTGTGAAGTAGTATCCTACATGCCGGTTTGTCCAAAACTTGTGCACGAGTGACAGAGAAGTATTAGGTTGGAGGATAAGTCTTGGAACACTTTGGACAAGTTTTTAAATTTTATATTTGTTAATTTCATTAGTATATATTCTATAATTTTGCAATTTAATATGTTCTGTCAATATTTTTATTTCATTATTTTACATTTGAAAAGGGCTTCGGTTTTTTTTNTTTTTTTTCTGGAACATGTTCACTGTGTAGCAGGACTCATTTTCCAGCTTAATACATGAAAGGCGATCGCGAATCACCTAGAGCCAGCAAAGCCCCTTTGTTGACTGTGAACTTGGGCCATGTTCTTGGTAGTCTGGACAAGGTGCACGACAGCGTGGGTGGCACCGCTCGAAAGAAACTCTTACAAACTCGAGGTGACGCGTTAGCGTTGAGCTGCATATCAACAGGCCCTTGCTAGCTTTAGCCTGGTCTCGGAAGCTGTGAAAGCAAGCGATAAAGGAAGATTTGGAACGGACATGATCAACGATGTTCGGGTGAAACTGTGCAGAGACCAATGCTCGCCGGGTCTCTGCCAGTTGCAAGATCAGAATGACATTGCTTCGACGTCTCGTCGGAACAGACACAGCAACCAGAAGGATTACAGAGAAGACCGAATTTGGTTCTCTACTGTCTTCAACAGAAGGGATGTTCTTCATTTCTCATTTCCAAAGTTCAACATGTTATATGTAGGTGTGAAAACTCCTGCAGCACCCGTCTCAGAATGAAAAAAAAACTCGGGTCTGTTTACGTCAAGCTCACAATCCATTCTCATCTATTACCTTTCGAAATACAAATTTGTCTTTTATTTCGTTTCTTTTTTCGTGAAAAGTCGGGAATGTGCGAAAATCTTAACCCATTGACGACCGCGTGGCCCGTATACGGGCCACG